GCCCCATGCAGGCAAGGCCACGGTATATGTGGTGTTTATTTGTGGTAGCACCTGGGAGCCTCGGTCATGGACCAGGACCCCAGTGTGCTAGGCGCTGCACAAAGACTGTGTCTGCCCCAAAGAGCAAGTAGAAGAAGAGACACTCTGTATTAAGCACCAACACGAGACAGGCCTGGTCTAAACACTGTTTTTGTACTGGTGTAACTTTTGGCTCCGTGTGTGACTTTTTTGGTTAAAAAATATATATATTAGCACAACCCCCAATGTGGACACAGTTACACTGGTAGACCCCTTTGCACTGGTATAGCTTATTCCCCTTTCCTTATGGGAAGCAGCTACACTGGTATAAACCTCTCTATACCAGTATCGCTGCTTCAGCACTGGGGTTTGTATTACTGTAATGACATAGGTTTAGTTCAAGCCATGCAACTTTCTTGTGTAGGCCAGGGCAATACTGGATGCCACACAGCCTGAGCGATCTCCAGATAACTCACACCTCCCTTGAGGGTTTACATCTTCGTGGAGGAGGAAAAGCCAGCCATTGTGTCTTTTCATAGCTAACTACCGGCCTTTTATAAACCTGCTTTTGTCTCCTGTCCCCACTGCTGCCTACAACATCATTAAACAACTAATGTCTCCATGACTCAAAATGCCTTCCCTGCTAAGATGCTTACTTAGCTTTTTCTTGGCGCTGTTTTTCCCAGCTGTAACCTCTTGGAGAACTGGTCTGAGATCAGTTCTTATCCACAGAAGGTAGGACAAGAAGTAATGGGCTTAATTTGTAGCAAGGGAGATTTAGGTTCAATATTAGGAAATCTTTCTGACTCTAAGATAGTTCAGCTCTGGAACAGGCTTCTAAGGGAGGTTGTGAAATTTCCATCATTGGAGATTTCTTTTTCTTTTTTTTTTTTTTTAAGAACAGGTTGGACAAACACCTGTCAGGTATAGTCTAGGGTTTACTTGGTCCAGCCTCCGCACAGGGGGGCTGGACTTGATATATTCTCCAGGACCCTTCCAGCCCGACATGTCTCTGAATTGTTTGTAACCACTGGGCTGGGACCCTACCACCTGTGAGCTGCCAGGGTCCCAAAAAATCCGTTTGCCTTGTCTTCAGCAACGAATGAACTCCTTACTCCTGGCCATGATATTGCTAAGAACGGGGCTTTATTCACTTTAATAATGACAAAATAAGGAGTTTTTAAAAAAATAATCTACATGGACGTAATCCTTCAGATACGACATTCAATCCTTATGCTGGTAAATTCACACTTGCGCACAAATAGTGTAAACCCCATTCATAGCCCTCTTCTCGCCTCTTTCCACCTAATTCCATTTTATTTATCATGCCGAGACTCAAGAGGGTCTTAGACCTCTAGCCATTAACAGCGAGACCAGTTTAGAGCTAAACACTCCAGTTGAACTGCTTCAGCGGATATGTAAATTGGTACAATGCCCAACGCCAACAGCACAAATGCAGTTCTGTCTGGACAAAGGTGCTTTAAGGTACAGCTTATTCCTGCATATTTACTATACAGATATATAATTGCCTGTGTACAGCCAGGGGATTCTACTGCTTTCTGTACGCCAGCTTCTGAACAGATTAAAATTAAAGCGGTGCAAAAATTGCATTGACAAGCCCCTAGCGTATAGTCCACAGCCTGCATTTTGCAAACATAAACAGTCACTCTGGCTTAAACACACACACGAGATGGTCTAGAAACATTTCCCTCCTTCTCTGTTTTTCTCCTATGTAAATCATGCAAGTCTGATCCAGCTTCTCTAGCTGTCTCTGGAAATCATGTGTCCTGCTCCACTGACTGATTTCTCTGTAATGCGTTCTCTTCAAAAGGGACTAGATTTCTGCACCTGCTCCAACTGGTTCAGAATAAACTGACCCCCGTGTCTCGGAAGCGCTCAAAGCCATTCATGAAATGGGTCCCTCATTAAATGAGTCGCTGTCCTGCTTATGCCTGGATTTGTCTGCAGATTTCTCCCAGCAGAGCTCTGTTGTCTGATGCACTCGCCTTGGAAGTGCTGCTTCTCTGTCTCCAGCGTGGATGGGCAGGGCTAGAAATGTGACACCCCCCCAACCCAGGGCTGGTTTAAAGCCAGTTTAATCACACTTTCAGTTAAACTGGACCAGGCCTAAAATCCAGTTACACTGTGATTTCTACCACTGTGAGGAATCTCTGTTACAGCCTGATGGTTCCCCTGGTGCGGTTACACTGTGGTTCATTGCTGCTAAGTTTAAAATGGAGTTAAATTGCTCCCAGTCCTCATTCACAGCAGGAAAACTCAATGCCCTGAACGATTGCAGGGAAACAAGGAACCTCACTTCCATCCCTTCTGCATTTGTCTAAGAACTAGAACAATATTGGTGGAGACTAAAAATAAAAAATGAGGGGTTTTGTTTTTTGCCACGTTCCCCCTCCCCTTCCCCCCCATCTCTTGCCCACTCCAAGAACGCTGTTTAAAATGCAGCTTGATCCTGTCTGGGGCCCAGGCTCCTAGTGTATTTGTAACTGCATTGGAACTACCGTGTTGCAGCCAGGTCGACCTCAAAATGGTGGCACTTAGGGTGTGGATTGGACCTCTAAGCAGTGAAGCCCAAGAGACAAATTAGCGCGGCAGCTGCCTTCTGTACTCGATCTTAGATCTGGCAGCCCAGCCCGCAGGGGGCTAATGACTTTACCAGACCAGAATTCAACTCTGTCAGTCCTCTCAGGAGCTTTGGGTATGCTTCCTGCCGCAGCTTCCCTCCGTGCCAGCAACAATGGGAGTGCCCGAGTTAACAAGTCTGTGGTGTCATCCAGACCTGTCCTGAACCGGGTTAGACGCACTCCAAGCTGTGCTTCCCGGCTGCCAGGGGAGCTGAACCGCTGGGAGCGTGGCCTAGTGGATAGAGCACCGGACTGGGAGTCAGGAGACGTGTCTTCTGTTCCCAGCTCTGCGCTGCGTGACTCGTGGGCATGTCACTTCCCTATTCCCTGTCTTTCCCCTTCCCCTTTGTCTCTTTCGCCTGGGCTCGTTGGGGCAAGGACTCTTTCACTATGTGTCTATGCAGCTCCCAGCCCAAGGGGGCCTGGGTCCTGGCTGGATATTACTGTAATAAAAGCCCAGTGTTGGGAAATCTTAGTCTAGTATAGACAGATTTTATTTATTTATTTATTTAATCGTACTGGGAAAACCTGAGGGCTGGCGGGGAAGTGGGCTCTTGTTTTCACAGGAACTTCTCTTTTTCAAGAAAAGGGCAGACGGACTTTTCAAGCGTTTATTTTCCTTAAGTGTGTAAATGTGCTGGCAAACTACATGTAGCCCTTGTGTGCCTGGCAATTTGTCAACGTGGCGTCCTGGGCCACCCAAGTCTGGGAACCCCTGCGTCATAGCATACTGACACCCCTATGAGTGGGAGTATTGGGATCTGCGGGAGGGACCCTTCTTCAGGACCTGTTGACAGTGGATCTCAAACCAAGTCTAAGGAACTGTGTGTAAACTCTGTGCCAGGTAAACTAATTCCATCTGCCAGCAGGACGGGGGTATGGAGGGGTAGAGCCCTACGCGGACACAACATTTATATCTGCCTCTGATCCGCAAACATGGTTTGCAGATATAAAGCGGATAGCCGCAGATTTGCAGGGCTCTACGGACATGTTCTAGCCTAGATCTGCCCCCTGTCTGGGCCCCATCCATGCTGGCCCCCTCACCTTGGTTTTTGCTGGTCCAGTCTAAACAGGTGGCCTACCTGCTAATGAGAGGTAAATGGCTCAAAACACCCCCCCCTTTTTTTTTTTTTTTTTAACGCCACTGGACAAGCCATTTTCAACCCCAGACAAGCTGGGGGCTGGCTGATATTCAGCGTGTGAGGGTCTGAGATGCTTCGCAAAGGTGGGTCAGTATCGCTGTGCGATACGCTTGACGTTACAGGGAAACAGAGGCACAGAAGTACCATGCAGCAAACTAGTGGCTGAGGTGGGGCCAGAACCGTGCTTACCTGGGTCCCAGGCCAGGGCCTGACTTGCTGCACCCCAGGAAGGACTCGGTCCCGCTCCCAGTGTGGATTCTATGGGCTCGTCCGTGCTGTAACCACTGTACTGGGAGGCTGAGTTACACAGTTGTCCCCCAGCTCTGAGCTGCGCTGTGGTACAGACTGGACCTAACTGTGTCCTTGATTTCCTCCCCTCCCCCCCTGCAGCTTTGGACTAGGGTGACCAGATGTCCCGATTTTATAGGGACAGTCCCGATATTCAGGGTTTTGTCTTATATAGGCGCCTATTACCTCCCCACCCCGTCCCGACTTTTCACGCTTGCTATCTGGTCACCCGACTTCGGACCGAGCAGGTCGGGGCACATGAGTACGCCGTAGGGGAGGACGGGGAGAGGTACTCCTAGTGCAGGCCGTGGGGGCCTTCCTCCATGCAATTGCCACTAGCCAGTTTCCCTGACTCTGTCTCCAAGGCAGGGCAGTCTCAGCTCTGTGTCCTCGGGGCAGGGCTTGGGTGGAGGAGGAGGGTCTGTGTATGGTTCTTTCAGTAGCCCCTCTCCTCCCACGGGCTTGGAGGAACAGCGGAGGCCTGGGGTGAGGGATCACCTGGTAGGTGTTGGATGTGGGGGGAGGGGAGCCCGTTAGCTGTGGGTCAGTGACACCAGGGCTGCTTGGAGGCGGATGTCTAATGACCAGGCGGCCCTGCTCGGGAGCTCTCAGATTGCAAAGCAGCCGCAACAGGCTTCTGGAACAAGCTGAAGGACGGTCCCTCCCCACGCCCAACTTCATTCCCCATGTCTTCCTCTCCCCTGTCATCTTCTTCCCCTACACTCCTCCCTCTTCTTCCTCCCTCCTGGCCAGGCAGGGCCCGAGCCTCCCTCCCCTCTTGCATTAATTCTGGATTAATGAGGCTCCTGGTTAACTCTCTCCTCCCTGCAGTCACCCACAAGAAGACAACCCCAACCCAGTCCGCACTTAACCCTGCTTTCTCTTTTTTCCCTCCCTCCCCCGTCCCCAGGTTTGCGCAGACACCTGGATGAAGCAGAATTGGCCAAGGACTAGTGGGACCCAGCCCTACCACTGCAGCAGAGCCAGAGGAAGGAAGGAAGTTGCAGTCCAGCCTGGGGAGTGCCCGTCGAGCTAAGGGGCGTGCAATGTACAGGACTGCGCTGGCTGCCTGCTGAGCCAGAGGGGCATTGGCCCTGAGGTGTCTTGTTTGCAGAGACTAACAGCCCGGGTGCTTGCAACCAGCTGGTTGCTCCGAGGGTCCTGTCCCCAGGGAAACGTACTGGTGTCATCGGGGTGTCGGCCCCTCGATGCAAAGCAGCCCCTAGTGTACCGCCTTGGTGCCCATTTCCCCCAGGGCGTTGCAACCTCCCTCCTCCCAGGGTACCAGTCCAGGGCTTTATTCCCTCTTAGGAACTTGCCGGCCAGCTCCCGTGGGGCACTGCACCCCACAGGGCGTTGTCCTGCAGATACCCCTCCCCTCCAGGACATTGCATCCTCCACTCCAGGGCGTTGCACCCCGGGTGCATTGCCCGCCAACCCCCCCAAGGAGCTGCCCTCGGCTGGCAGAGCCATGAAGCTGCAGGCGGTGATGGAGAACCTGCAGCGGCAGCAGCGGGCCCGGCTGCAGCAGGAGCAGCAGCGCTCCACGCCTCCCCCGCCAGCCCTGCCCCCTCCGCCGCCCTCCGGACAGAACGTTGCCCTCCCTGCTGGGGCCTCGCTGTCGGCCCGTGGCCGCAGCCAGGACCCCGTCCCATCTGAGGAGGGGGTGGAGCTTGAGAGCGCCCGCATCCAGCGCGCCCAGATGGCTGCCCTGGCCGCTATGCGGGCAGCAGCTGCTGGACTCAGCCACTCACCCAGTCCAGGAATGTCAGATGAGAGCCAAGCCTCAGAGGAGGAAGAAGAGGAAGAGCAGGGAGAAGAGGAGGAGGATGGCGGGTACCAGCCGGAGATGGGCTCGGAGGAAGAGGAGGAGCTGTGAGTATGGATGTATAAATTTGCATAAATTAACACCTCCCGTGGCATAGGCATTGCATGCTGACTTGAATTAATGCAGCAGCGCATAAATTAATGCACTTCTATCCCCACCGTGTGTTGTGAGCAAGGTTTGAACTTGGGACCTTCACTGCTGAAAGTACAGGCCTTTTCTCCTTGAGCTACGCACGTACATCCCTTAGTGTTCAACAGTAATGGGCTTTTATCTTCTGGCCCAGCCACTGAATGGGGATACTAGAACGCTTGGACGGTATGTTACATTGACGCGCGCACGTGTGTGTATATAACATCCTAATCAGATAACGTAGCTTGGTTTTATACAAATTAACATAGGATCGTTCTTAGGTTGCACGGAGACTTATCCTGATTTAAGAAAAGTGCCATAAACGGATTTTGAATGTTTGAAAACCATCACACTTATATGTAACTGAATTTTAGCATACAAGTCTCATGTTAACTAAAATCACGTGGTGCGTTGAGGGATTCACACTGATGTCTCCCTTCTGCAGTATAAATATGGGTGCCACTTTTCTCAAGCGGGTGTCGGATGGTTTAGCCTCCACCACTGGTCGGATTCTTGGCGGCATGATGCCCTATGGCGACAGGCCGAAGCGTTGCCAAATGCCCCTTTGGGTGTGTGTTGTGTTGGAAGTCATTGTGGGGGCTGAGAGCCGTCTCTTCCAGGGCCTGCCCACGTACAGTCCGAATGTTGCAATGGCATCGCTTTTCGCTGAGTCTACGATAGCACATCAATTCTGTGCAAGAGGTAGGGTTGACCTTTGGCAGCTGGTGGGAAGAGCCTTGTTTGGGGGCAGCCCTGGAACTGCTTTTTGGGGGAGAGAATCCCATGGACTCAGCCTGGGGGAAGGGGGTGGGAGACTTTTCTGTTTACATCTCTATACCATGCCCATTGTGGTCCTTCCGGAGCATGCTGGGACACAAATGCCATACTCAGGTATAACTTTCATTTAGAATTGTAGGAATTGCAGGGTAATTTGGTCCTCCTCTTCTCTGTCAGTCGGTGCAGTGTCCTTAAGGCAGCCCTGTCTAGTCTTAAATTACCCAGGCAATCGGTTGTTCTGTTGCCTCTGGCCGGTGCCAGGCCACCTGTCCACTGCCACCCCATATAGGACAGCCGCGGGAGCTGTCTGTCAACAGTTGTCTGCATTTTTCACTGGGATAGCAATAGGGCCCTTTCCCCCTTCAGTTAAAGGGTTGCTGTCAAATTGAATCCATATTTCTGAGGGACAAAATTCCCTGTGTCACTAATAAGTTAGATCATTTAAAATTGAAAATTAAATATTTCAAAATAATGGTGTGGTTTCTTTTTTTTGTCACTTCTGCTGGGTTCCCCCCGCCACACTTGGCTTGGGCCATTTAAACAGAAGTTGGGTGTGTCTTCTGCCTATCTCTCTGCCTAACTTGTGGAGTTGGGAGTAGAGAGGGAATCGCCGTACTGTAATAAACTGGTTAAGTGTGTGTCCGCCACTGCTCTCCACAGGATGGAACTGGAACTTTTCAGATGTGTGTCACATGCCCTATAGTACAAATAGGTTATGAAGATTCTTGTTTAGCTCAAGTATAGTGTGTGTGTGTGGGGGGGGGGGGGACAGGACTGTGACTTTTTGGGGGAGAGGGATCGAAGTTTGGTCTCTGCTGTCACTGTGAAGTTACAAGTGCCATAAAGTACAGTAATGATGACGCATCTGGGACAATTATACTATTGGCTGGGGAGGGAGAAAGGGACTGGAAACCTGATGTGAAAATCTGCCTTTTTTTTTTTTTTTTTTAAAAGCTGAACTGGTGACACACCTTCGTCTGTGCGAGCCTGTTTGCTTAAGGCAAGTTCACACCCATAGCACAACTAGCTACCTTTCAAATTAAATGGATGCACTGGATTTTGTTCCCCCTTTTGTCTTTTCCTCTCTATTTGCAAGTGGCAGGAGCCAAGTAGCAGTGCTGGGGGCTCTCCAGGGGCCCGGCTCAGTGTATGGGCCCCCCTTTCTCTTTAATATCTGTCTAATCTGAGAGAAAAATACACAGTTGCATTCTGGCAGCATGTTCACCCGGAGCAAACATTTGGCAGGGTGTGTCTCTGTCTCTCCAAGCAGAGAGGTGGGGCCTGTCCACACCTCCTTGGGGAAGGTGACAGGGCTGTATGTGCCCAAAAACTCCGACTCTGATGGAGTGAAGAGCAACCGTATCTAATTGCTCTTTGCCTAGCAGATACCCATTGTGCATGATGAGAAATCAGCCATAGGGCACCTGTAAACTACCAGTTCAGGGTGTGTCCCGTTCTAGTGGCGGGGCCATATAAGAAGACAAGTGCCTACTACTGCTGCCAGCTAATTGTTACTCTTCTAGATCAGTTGGTGGAGGCTCCTGCCTTTAGAGCTGAATATGTCAGGTTTATGCCTCGTTGGCAATCTGTGCCCAGCTCTGTTGCAAGCCCCTCTTTAATGGGGGATAACTGTTGATGTACAACAGATAGCACTTTTTTGGATGCAACCAGGTCTGGCACCAGCCTTCCAGTGGGGCATGTGGCATAGAAAATAACAATTGGACCATTTTGATCAGAGCAGACTTGCAAACCTCTCAGGAAACTCACCTGTGTAGACCCAGAACAGTGACACTCCTTACTAAAGGTCAGTATATAAATGATTGATTAACTGTTTATTAAAACAACCTAATAGGTGGCTTATAACCATAGCTGACAGCCACTTATAAACACCTGGTACTGATGTGCTCACGTAAACCACTGGCGAGTGTGCTGGAGATTCTCGGTGCCCGACCTGCAGCAGATGAGCCTGTTACCCGGCCAGCTAGGGGAATCTTCGCTCTTCAGCACGTGCTATAGCAGCTCACGCTTTTGGCTCTGGAGGTCCCAGCCAGTCTGCGGAATGGCGGTGTTCACACTTACAGCCCCCGATGGCACTTGCAAGCGATCTGCTTGCAGGCCTGTATCCTGTGCTCTGTTGTTGTTCCTTTATAAACCATCTCTACATGGAATCCGTTAATGTAAAGTGTGCCCCGTGGTGTCAACTTGCCAGCCACTCCCCTTGAGAATCCCAAGTGAGATTTCAACACTGCCCACCAAAAGAAACACTTCTCTGCACAGAGGAACAGGACAGTGCAGGGCTACGTTAGTGCCAGGCAAAACTTCCCACTCGCGCTTGGGAGAATGGAGATTAAGCAGGACCTAGAGCTAATAAACTCTTTGTCCTCACCACTGTCCCATATACATTTTTGGTTGAAGGGGGAGCTTAAGGATTCTCCTTCCCACAGAATGACACTCTGATCTCCTTTTCAGGCAGCTGTGCAGGCCCAGTGATGGCTCTTGCTCCCTCGCTTCTCAGGGGCCAGCACCATCTCTTGTTCTGAGTCCCCACTCTCACCTGGCACCGGGAGAGCTGAGATCCCTGTTCCCCACCCGCCCTCCTGCATGCACACGCTCACTCGTCTCCATCCCAGTCTGCACTCAGATGTGATGAGAAACCCGGTTACAGTGGGGTGGGGAGGGTGGGAGCTGAAATGCTGGCAAGGAAGAGAGCTGGGTTACACAGAGGGCTTCTCCCCTTTGCCCCTTGAAGGAGCAGGAAGGAAACTTCCCTAACCAAGACTAAACGCAGTTTAGGGCCTTCTTCAGGAGGTGCTAATCCTGTCCGCCCCTAAAGCTGGGTCTACACTAAAAAAATTAGGTCACCCCTTCTACCTCCCTCAGAGTTGTGAAAAATCCACACTCCTGAGCCATGTAGTCAAGCTGACAGAAGTTCCTGCGTAGACAGTGCTAGGCAGACGGAAAAATTCTTCTGTCGATTTAGCTGCCGCCTCTCAGGGAAGTGGATTAACTAAAGCAACGGGAGAACCCCTCTGGCGCTGGCCTCTGCACTGAAGGGCTATGGCTGTGCCTCCCCATCCCTGTCTATTTCACGCATTCCCGAGGTGTCTCCACCCCGATGTTGTCGATAACCAGCCTAACTGGTTGGTTTGTTTTCCTATTCCAGGAGAGGAGAGCTTCCTCGCCAGTGCTAAGATGGGCTCGGATCCAGGGCTGTCAGCACTAAGGGGAAAAATTTCGAATTGGTTCTAAAACTGGTTCAGCTAAGCTGGCCGGAGTCCTAGTGGAGACTTGTTTTTGTTTCTAAGATGGTCCAAGATGGTCTAAGATGACCTGTTTGTGGGGGAGAGCCAGGGTGCCTTAGATCACCTCAGACTGGGTCAGTGCTACAGCTCTGACTGGCTTATCTGAGCCACTTTTGAAACCAGTTAGAAAATTTCTCCAGTAGAAACGGGTCCCTCGGAGATGTGGCAGCAAATCTAAATCCCTGGTGTCTTGGGCGCAGCTCCCAGTTGAAGGGTGTGCTGCTCCTTCCAGGGAGGATGGGTTGCCATGATGGAAGAGAGAGTGGACTTTGACTCAGTCTGGATGGGTACATTCGGGGGACGTGGGATGATCTGATGTAGCAGAGGAATCTATGCAGTTACTGTGAATTCACACCACTGTAAACGGGAGCAGAAGCTGGCTTAAGGAGACTGTCTTCCGAGTGTGTATGTAGAATATTGTGACTCTTCTTTTTTTTTTTTATTATGAGAAGGAAAAGGGTTTGAAGCTGCACCGTGCTTTGTGCTAAGGCTGCCCATCACGCTTTGGTCAGGAAGTGAACTGGGCTGGGGTGGAGAGAGGACAGAACTGCCCCAGTGATTCAGGGAAACTGGAAAATGTGAAAATGTTCGGTGCTTCTATTGCCTAGTGTGTGGAACAGATTATTTATTTCTGCTAGCGTGCAAACTCTTACTAATTGTTTGCAGTGCAAACTGCCTGGAGTTTGGTACGAATTGTTTGCAGTGCACACAGCACAGGGGCCCTAGCTGTGATCTGGGCACAAACACCTAGTGAGACACAGCCCTTGCCCCAAAAAGCTTACAAGGGAGAATGAATGGTTCAAAAGGCAACCTGGGCAGCTCTGGAGGACTTGCAAACGTGCATGATTGCGCTGTGGAGTTTGGAACAGTGAGCTGGCTTGCTGGATCAGTGAGATTTAGATTAGACTGCTAAGGGCTGTGTAATGAGACTCCTTGGTTTTATCCTGCCCTGATGTTCCTCTCAATATATAGCCTGTCTCAGGCTTTCCTGACTGTTGCTCCAGGGTAGTAAGCTAGTAGGAGATAAAATAAGACTCTCCTACAGATGGGCTTTCTTGTTTACAGCTAAGAACACCCAAGTCTTCTGTAGCCAAAAGTGGGCACTGGGTAGTTGTTAAATTGGGAGGCAACGGTTCCTACTGGTTAGAGCACTGGACTGGGACTCGGGAGGACTGGGTTCTATTCTTGCCACTTGCCCTAGGAGCATACAGCAGGCCAGTCTCTTCCCATCTGTAAAATGGAGCACAGTACTGAGTGGCTTTATGGAGTGCTCTGAGCTCTGCTGATGAAAAGTGTTTATATGAGACCAAGGGATCGACCCTTGGCTTCTCCTACTAGCCTGTGCAAAGGCACCATTGACCATGTAGCACTGGAAGGGGGTGGGGAGCTGCCTTGTCCAGTGACCTCTTAACCCCGCAGTATGTTGCTGGCCAGATGTAAGATGCTAATGCTCCAGATGGCGCAAGGGAAAGGTGGTGCCCTGACATGGGAATGGGTAATGCCCGTGTTCCTGTGCACTCAAACAACATGTGACCTATGGTAGTCGTGTTGCTTAATGCTCAGATTTAGGCACCCAACTTCCACTGAAATCAGTGGAAATTAGGAGCCTAAATCCCTTTGGGGATCTGGGCCTCAGATGCTGTGGTAATGGCATGGTATAATAAGCTATGTAGAACAGAGCCAGTCTGGATCAGACCAAGAGTCCAGTCTTTACCCACAGCCAGGAGAGCCCTGCAATAGGTGGTTATGGGATAACCTGCCCCAGGACAAGTTTCCTGCTGAAGCCTTGGGGTAGGAGGATTTATATGCCATCCTAAACTTTCTCATATCTTGTGGGAAGGAGTTCCACAGGTGTGAAAAAAGCATTTCCTTTACCGGTTCTGGATTTGCTCTTATTTGGTTTCATCGAGTGTCCCTCTAATAATCTTGATTGCATTGAATCTGGTGCCTTCTCCATTGCGGGGAGGGCAGTTCTTGGCGTGGAGGTGGGGCACAGGTAGCGTCTCTGTGTGTTGATTTTTAGTGAGCTCTCTCCAGATGCTACATCGTGAACCTTCTCTTCTCTCCCCAACCTCACCCTTTTTTTTTTTTTTTTTATTTATAACTTCTAGGAAGCGCAAATGGGATGAAGATGACTTTGAAGAGGACATGGGGGAGGAGGAGGAGGAGGAAGAAGAGGAGGAGGAGGAGGAGGAGGAAGATTATGAAGAGGATGAAGAAATGGGGGAGGATGAAGGGCTGGGCTCAGCAGAAGTGGTGAGATCTGGTCCGGGATCTCTGCTTCTTCGCAAGCCGCAGGTCCCCCAGCAGTACCGAGGCGAGCCCCAGAGGCTGCCGGGGGGCCAGGAGCGGCTGTCGTCTGGATTGAGCCATCAGGGGCACTTGCAGCTACAGCAGCAGGCTCCAGACCACGGAGACTGGACTTACGAGGAGCAGTTCAAGCAAGTAGGTACCCGTAAAGGCATATGTCCCTTTAAATGACTTGCTGGCATTGAGTTTATAAGCCGGTTACTTTTAATACTGCATCTCCAGTATTTAATCCCTTGGGGACCTTGAGCCGGGTCAAGGAGTTCTTCCCCATTGATGCAGGGGGAAATCGCCTCCTCCTCGTTGCCAGAATTAAGATGTCCTTTAAGATGTCAAGAGGTGTGTTGCATTCCTGGCTAAGCTGGGAATGCTGGTGTATTGAGAGCTGCTCGTGCCAAGAGACTGAGACATCCTTGGACATGTTTGGAATGGCTGGAGTAGCTTGGAAGGGATTTTGAAGGGTGGCAGGCGGGTCTGACACCGTGTGTGAATGAAGTCTCTAGGGTAGAGACTGGAGAGCCCAAACCTCTGTTAGTTTGTGCTTCAGGGACTTAGATGGATTTTGTAGTTTGGAAATTTTGCTGCTCCTTGCGGGGAAGCACTGGTTCCTTGTTTTGTCCTTTTAGTTCACATGCTGCCAACCTCAGGTTAAGATCTTGGCCCTGAGCCACCGGGAACAGTTTGGTACCACTTCAGAGGAAGGTGGCCAAGTCAGAGAACCAGGGAACTCTGATACCTTGGTCAGTCATTCACACTGGTGCTAATGCAGGTGTTTTGCGCTGATGTGAATGACGGCACTGTGTGCCATCTAAATGGAGTATTTGGATGCATGTGTCTTCAAACCACACGTTTTTACTTGTGTCAATAATGCTTCTGCTTTTTTCCGTCTTCAATCACCTGATTTTTAAACTCTGCTCTTCATGCGTCTGCCTGCCTGGCTGGGGGGTGTGCATCTCGAGGGGAGCATTCGGGTCGGGTTCTCACACACGAGCACCACTCCGCAGCGTTTGGTTTGCAAAGGCAATAGGGAATCCGCCTAGGTGTCTACACTGCACTCCAAGCTCGCCGTTGGGATTCCCTTGTGTTGGCCTTAGCTTTTTCGAAAAGCTAGCCCGTGTGGTGTGCCCCATCCCCGGAACCATTGGTTTCTGAGGCAGATCTGACCTCCTGGCGTCCTTCTGCAGAGATCTGTGAAGGCAGGGGCACTGGGTATTTGAATGGTGGACATTTCAGCCCTGATTAAGTATGTGATTTAAACATGGGCCTGACTCTAAGGGCAGGCCCATCCAAGTCACATGTACCTGATTGGTGATCATAAACTAGCTTTCTCCTGGGTTTCACTCTTTAACTGTGCCCCCCCCCCCCGCCCCCATCTTTCCTTCCCTTCTGGGTCCCCTGCTCCTTGTTTGCCAAGCCTCGCTCTGGGGAAGCAAAGATTCTCTCTCCTCTCATTCATTCCCCCCCCCCCCTTGGTGATTGGCTAGAGCTGGGTATTGAATCCGTAAGCCTTTGGCTAATAGAAGGAAATGTGCTTAAAGCAGGGCTCCCCAGACACACAGAGGCTCCTTTGATGTATGTGTTTAAGTACCATCTGAGTTTAGGGCTGGGGGGAGGGGATGCTACGCAGACAGTAGCAGCAGATGGAATCCAGATGGAGTGGGGAAAAAGGGGGGAGCAAAAGGAGGTTTATGTGCTGCTTTTGGGGTGACTTTTTTTTTTTATTGGCTATGCCCTTTTATTTTGGGGTCCCTGGCCAACCAAGGGAAGAGAAACCGCTCCAGGGGAACAGCTGGCAAGGGTGCCCAGCATTTGAGATCGCTCCAGGGTGCTGCGTGTGGGCACGCCTGGGTCAGTCAGAGCAATACTTGCAGAGAAAGTGTTTGCTAGAAGGATCAGGAGCCCTGGTGTGTCTATTTCCGTAACGGTACAATGCCTCTTTCCGACTCAGAAAAATAACAGGGCTGCTGATTGAAACAGTGTGTCTGTTCAGTTTTGTCTATTATATAGCATTTTCATCCTCCCATCGCTTAACATTTTGGTGGAACTAGCCCTTTTTTCCAGGATCTGATCAATTTTAAATAGTTGGAGCCTAAAAAGAAACTCCTTGAGACTGGCTTAAATGGAGTCTTCCTCTCTTTCCACTTCCTCTGACCTAGATGGTCTCTTACTATGTTTGTGTCGCAGTAGCACCTAGAGGCCCCAGCTGAGGTTTGGGTCCCCCCATGCTAGGCACTGTACATGCATGCAAGACATTTTTTGGCCCCAATGAGTCTGCAGATTAAGAAGAGAAGATGGTCAGAGTGGGGAGGGGAAACTCCTGAGGCACAGAGAGAGGGAAGTGACTTGTCTTAAGGGTCACACAACAGGTCAGGGACAGTGCTGGGATTTAAAAACCCTCTCTATTCTCGGAGTCTGTCTAGTGCTCTATCTGCTAGTGCGCACTGCCTCCTTGAAGTATTACTATGAGCATGGTTACAGTCGGTCTACACACTCACTTTCCAAAACTCTGCTGATCCTTTCATATCTCTAATGTACATGTGGTTTTGTTTTTTTTTAAATATATTAATTCTTCTTGTGTTGTCTTCTTGAGCTCTTATTTACACCTTCCTCTGGCTGATATGTATCTTCTTAATGTGGCTTCTTTTGTACTTCCTGTAAATAGAGAGTGGGGGGACGGAATCTTTTTATCTGTGGAAAAAGCTTTTAAATACAGCAGCTGTGATCTTCCTGTTTTGTCACACGGTTACTGCCAAAACCCTGCTCTTGGGACAGCAAGATCACAAAGTCTGGTGTGCCTCTCACAGCTTTTGGAAGCTAATGTTAGACTGAAAGTGACCAACATGGCAGCTTGTTACCTGGGGTATTTGTTTGATGGTTAACAGGTTGATTTGTTAACAGGTTGAAAGTTTGCGGTTCTTAATTTAACACTATGCTGGGCCAGAAAATCTGTGACTGTTTAGGTTGACGGAGCTTGCCAACGCCTGTGGCTTTTTTAACCCAAGTCTTGTGATATTTGGCGTTTCTCTTCGAGATGCAGCTCCTGGAGTCATGTGATTAGAGTGAGACTGTTTTCGTTTTACAGTAAAGTATGTTTCTAGCCTTTGTGGTTGCAGACAAAAGCTGGAAAACGTGACTCTGAAAGACTCACAAATAGAAGACAAATTGCCCCCCCCCCTTTTTTTTAAATCTTACCTCAGGCTGTGTTGATGCTTTTTGTTTGTTTGGGTTTTTTTGTTTTCTTTTGGGGAAGCGGGAACCTTGGGGGTCTACTCAGTTGCGGGCAATGCCACCATTGTTGTAGCAATGTCCAGTTCTACCAGTGGTGGCAGGTGTGGGAACACAAGTGTAGACAGGCTGCTGGCCGCTTTAGCACTGTGTTGTGTAACCCCACTTAGAGGAAGCCAAGGTAGCACCAAGACTTTAAAATGCCAGGGAGCACTGCAAATTAAATCTGCTCCCCTGGGTACAGCTCCAGTGGTGGACCTTACGGGGCATGAGCTGGTGCAGATGCCACCTCACTGTGCATGAGAACAGGGCTGCCGGCCATGCAAGGGCACTGGTCTGGCCAGCGGTGGCAAAACCAGATCCAGGGAGCAGAGGTTAAGATTTTTTTCAAGAGCCCTCAAGGGACTTAAGTGCTTAATTCCCTTGGGCTCATTTGACCATCCCAGCCAGAAGCTCTCCACTGCTGCCCTGTTTTCCTGTCTGGGCTGGGCATGGCGAGCTCTGTCCTTCAAAGCACTGTACAATTCCAAGAGCTTCCCGGCATCCCTGTTCTGAAGCTTTTGGCCCTGGCGTGCCCGTTCTGTGGGCGGAGGAGAGTGCTACAGACCCGCCTGGTTTGGGGAAAGCCCTTTTCCCCCACAGCTGAGCATGTCAGAAAGCAAATGTGTCGGCCTCTGGACCTCCGCCAGAGGTTTCTCAGCGAAGCCTTTGGCCGGGAGCTCCGTTTGGCCTCCCTCCAGCGCCGGCTTTTGACTGGGCTCCAGCCCCAGCTGATGGGGAGCAGCCCTGCTCGCTGGGAAGGAGCAGAAGGAATGTAAACAGTGATTGTTAGCAGGATGTACGGTACAGTTTTGCTGCACTGCTGGGGGTGCCGTCCCCGGAGGAGTTACTGACAGCGAGTACTTTATGACTTCCTTCGCCCCTGCTCTCTAGTTCTCCACGCCAGCTTGAGTTTGTTTATTTTTCCCCCTTGAGAGTTAAGATACAGAGTTTTTTAAAAAATGTAACGTAAATCCTTTTTTGAAGATTCCTTCATGGCCGGGAGACCTACCAGCATCACAGAGGCTAATTAATCACTGCAGCACCTAGGAGCCCTCGGTGTGGACCAGGTCTCCACTGCGCTAGGTGCTGTACAAACACAGAACAAAAAGCTGGTCCCTGCCCCGTAGAGAACAAAGCCTCAAACTCCTGAGTGGTTGCTGTCCCTCCCCCAAGAGGATCGGCGGCTCACGGTCTGAAACCAGCTTTTCATAGGCACCACTCCCGAGCTGTAGCATTTCCTAAAACCGGGTCAGCCGTGACTTCCACTGAGTCATTGCCAGAGCTGGGGACGCAGCCCCAGCCTCCTGACTTGAGGTCGCTGCGAGAGCATCCCTCCCTGTTACACTCCTAGAGCCCTGCATGCTTCTGTGCGCAGTCCAAATACCAGGAATAATCTGGACCATTTATCACGCAAGACTTATTTCAGCCCACTGCCAGTAACTCTAGCCAAGGACAAAAGCAAAGTCTTATCTTTCCCCTTGTGCAGTTCCTTGATTCTCTAAGTGCCTGTCTGATTTCCGCCCCCTGCCCCATCCCCCCCACACCTTGTTTTCCTATGTGTGGTTGGGGGGAGGCAGAGGATAGTACACCTTGGCTGGTGTCCTGGATAGCACTTAAGCATTGGCTTAAGAGGGCATTTGGCAGCATCTCCTGGCGCAGTCTGCCCGGTAACCCAGAGTGGGGAGCATTTGAGTTACGCAGGCTATTCCTCCTGCTTTGTAGGGATCTGGCTTGGATGCTGTTGACTCTCGAGGGATGCATATGGGTGGGGTGGGCAGGGTTTCCCCCTGACATAGTAACCAAGAGAACTGGCGCGTGGGTTGCACGGGGTCACGGTCAAATGAGTGGGGAGGGCGAGCCGTGGTCGCTGG